TATATATATATATATACGCACACAGACACACACAGGACGACTTTTGATCTCCGACACCCAGCTCCGCTCCCAGTTTGCCTCAAGCTTTTGGCAAACCCAAACTGTTGGGGAGGTGGTGGAGGATGAGCCCCCCCAGTCCCCCCAGCCTGTCTGAGCTGCACAACAGCTGGACCCCAGCAACTGCTCCCGGGGAAGGGGGACACCCCCATGGCCAAGGACCTGGGCCACTCCATCTCCTTGGGGATGGCTGGGGAAGAAGCGCACCCTAAGCTGAGCTCTGTGGTCCCCAGTACACCCCCTGCTCATGTTTGTCCTCCAGCTGCATGCCCCCAGTACAGGTAAGCACCACGAGGCACCACTGCGCAGAAGGAGCCTCCTCCCATGGTACTGCTGGGCACGGGACGAGCTGCCCCAGCTCTGGGCTTCAGCAAGAGCACGAGTTTTACTTGCTGACGTGGGTAAAGTGCAAATAGAGCCCCTGGCCCTGCCCGTCCCCACTCCTCTGAAGCATCACACACCTCTCAGCAGCTCATCACGCTGCCTCTCTCTCACCAGCCCTCACCACCAGCAGGTCAACTGGTCCAGGGCATCATGGTCTACCCAAATCAAGTCACGCCAAGCCAAAAACAAGCATCTGTGCCAGACATGAGGCAGGAACCACCCCATCACTGATTTCTTTTCCTGGAGCCGTGGACCAGGCTAAGCGCCAGGCAGCTTTGTTACTACGATGCAAAAAACTGCTTCAAGTATCAAAGAAAACAAAACAAATGGCCAAAAGTTGGGTTATCCTCTCCTCCCGCCCCCTTTCCCAATGGAAATACAAAGAAGGAAGAAAACCCTGAGCAAGCACTGTCTGGATTCAGGAACCAAAGCAGGAAAGAGAAGAAGAGCACAGCCACAGCAGCCTTCAAAGTGACTCTTTGTGCACTTTGCACTTGTTCATAGTCCCAAACTTGCTAAAGAACAAGCTGCAAATATCATTAAAGCAGGTGTTTAGTCACAGTAAAGATAGTAATTCAAAAAGAAAAGGAAAAAGCCATACTCGGCTTCCACATCACTGCCCCCATTGCTCAGGGCACCCCGGCCTCAGCATCCCCACGGATGCCCGGCATCCCCCAGCCTGGCAGCAGCACCCAGGGTGAAGCTGCAGCAAGAGGAAGGGACTCCAGGTCCTTGGGGCATTCGAAGGGTAAGCGGGCAGAGCTGATGCAGGCAGGAGGCAGCGAGGTGGGTAAAGATGGGACCTGCTGCCCAGCCAGGCTCCAGGGCACCTGTAGGTCCCATCCCAGCTCCTGCACCGTTGAGCTGAGGCCACCAAAATCAACACAGCCTGGGGACATCAGCTTTCAACATAAAAAAACCAGAGAAGTAACTCAAAATCGGGCTTGTACCCCAGAAGGGCCTGTTTGGAGGATAAGCAAGAGACAAAACACTTCCTCCTCCCCAAAACCTTTTCACACAAGGCAACACAGCTAATCTTTTCTCTTGTTTTTACTTTTTTTGCATCCAATACACTCCAAATGATTAAAAAGTGAGAGCCTGGTTGGCCTGGGGAGGAGGGAAGGGGCAGTGGATGAGCCCCACACACCTCACTGTGCCTCCAGTGCGGATGCTGCTGGGAGCTGACACCAAGAGCTCCCAGCTCCGTGCCCTTTGGAGCAAGAACGTGTTTTCATGCTCGGATTCCTCTCCAAAGCCCTTCAGAGGTGACTGAAGGGGGCTTATTCACCCCCCAGGAGGTGGCCCCAGGACCTGCACACCCTCCTGCAGTGGGTGCCATGAGCCCATTCACCCAAGAAGCGGGCGATGTGAAGGTGCAAGGAAGGAACAGCAAACAAAAAGGAGACGCTGGGAGGGAGGGAGAGAGAAACCAAACCCCAAACCCAGCCGTACTGAGGGAAAAAACCCGACAACAACCACAACACCGGCCAGGGCCTCCACCTGCATCCCACACGGTCCTCCCGACACGTGCAAGCCTGAACTCCCACGGAACCATCCCTGATCCCAGGAACTGGATAACACTCCCAGAGACAACGGCACCGAGTCCCCGCCAGCCTCCAGCAGCGGCTGGGCACCACAGCACCCTGCCCTGCAGCACCCACTGCAAGGGGCTCCCTCCGACACCAGAAGCCTGTAACGATTTCCCCCACCCTGTCCCACTTGGCTAAAGCCCTTCTGCTAGAGACAACCATCGCCAGTCACAGCACCTGCACCCTCACACACCTCGCTTTCCTGTTAAGTGACGGTAAAACTTTCTTTAGAGGACAAGGTTAACGATGGCTTTACTTCTGAGCTGAGTAATGGATGGGGTGGTGATGACGGGGGTGGGGGGTGGCTAGCTTTTCTCCTCCCTTTCTTAAAATAAAACAAAAAAAAAAAAGAAAAAGGAAGAAAAAAAAATAAGGAAAAAGCTACAATCTTATAGACTAACCTCAGGAATATCAAAAAAGGAGCCCAATAGTTTTTAAGTAGGTCGCCACAGACCTAGTCGTTTACAGTATAACGAATGCGATTATTTCCTTCATAAATTTTAAATACAAGCAGAATAAAAATCACATTTTTTTCAGGCAACAGTAGCAGTTCAGTAGGTAAGTGGCTTGATCACATTGTTTTGTTTTGTATTAGTAATGCATGCAAGCAGCTTTAGTATTACAGATCCCTTATAGGTCATGAAATGTTTGCTCTCTTTATAAAGTCCCTCCAAAAGTACCATCTTGTCTTCTCACAGGAGTTTCGGGCCGGCTGGAGGAGCCCGAACCTTGTTCAAAAGGTTGCGGAGTGCTTTGGGTATCCGATGCCATAGCATCTGTGGCAGCTGCCTCCTGTATCACAGAGCCAGCCCCTTCGGCATCCTCGCTCTGTTCGAAGGACTGGTTGGATCCATTGCTCAGCTCTACATTCACTGTGTTAGTTCTCAAGGCTACTATAGTTCCTGAATCGCTCCTCCTTTCTGCATAGATTCGCTGCTCAAAGACCTGAGCAGTGTTGGGCTGGAATTCAGGATCCAGGGGGACACTGTTTGTGGTGGAGCCCATGACCGTGCGGTACATCTCCATCCCTTCCGGCAGCATGGACTTAATCTTCGGCAGCCAGCGCTTGCGGACCCGGCGGGCGTTGGTGCACATATCGGCTGCTATAACATTCATCTCGCTTTCCTTAAAGCTCGGGGCAAAATTCTGACAATACACTGCAAAGACAGGGATACAGAGAGCTGAGGATTCAGAGGAAGCATCACAAAGGTGGCACAGAGGTGAGCAAAGCCTCTGTCCCATCCTAGAGACCTGCAGATGCCATGGAGACGAGGTTCGCCCATGGACCAGAGCTCTCGCAAGGAAAGACTTACAGACAAGGATTCCTCAGCTTGAGATTGAGACAGTCAATAAGGGATAAAGCCAGAAAGCATAAAAATCCCAGCTGGCCCAGGGGAGGGGGCTGGAGAAGGACCAGTAACCCACAGAAGACCCAGACACCCACGCTGGGATGGCCAAAAGGAGAGATGGACACAGAAAAGTTCGACACAAACACCTCAACAGTAGATCCATTAATGGCTCTGAAAGCCACAAAGGTGCAGGCACAGCTGTGGGGCTTGGATATGTCAGAGCTGCTCTTCACTGAGCAGAGGAGCTGCCCAAAGGACTGTCCTCTGCCTGTCCCACACCTCGTGCCAGCCACTGCAGGGGCAACCAGTGCTGCATAGACCACCAACCCCGCCAGCGGGGCTGCTCTGACATCCCTTCACCAGCACATACTCTGCAGAAGCCCAGCAAGACTTTGGCTGCAGCCCTGCTCCTCCACAGGGACCAAGCACCTGATGTTATGGAACAACATCCAAGGAACTGCCACGGTGAATAATTACCAGCTAAAGCTTGTGCACAAGGTAAAATTCAGGCAATAAGAAGCCATCCTATGCCCTGACACATGACAGTGTCACTGGACAGCGATGCCGTTCCAACCTCTGAAGGCATTTGCAAACCTCAGCAAAGACCAAGCCTGGAAGGTCCAGACCCAGGGCTCTGCAGTGTGAGTTGCTAACAAGGAGCCTGTCTTAGGAGAGCACCACGCACAAGCTATGGGCAAGCACCACCAGCACAGCTTAGTGATTTTGTCTTTATGTATTGAACATCTGCCATCTTATCCCTTTTCTCCACGTGCTGCAGATCTCAGGGGGTGGCTGGAAGGCCCCTGGAATTCAGCAGCACAGCAACAATTAGAGAGAGGAAAGATTTATCTTCCCAATCTTAAAAATAAAAAATAATAATAAAAAAACTGCTTAGAGTTTCATTTTCCAGCACAATAATGTTTACATAAAGATTTACTATCCAGAATCCAGTGAGGGTGAGAGAACACATTGCTGTCCACTGTCTATCAAGCCTGTGATAAACAGGCTTTGCTACACTAACACATCAGGGTGTCCTGCACCACCCAGGTCTTCACTCATCAGCAGGCACCTTTTGTCCCACAGCATGCTCCTTGTATTCAAGGGTGACTTCAAAAGCCAAGTATTTAACCATTTGTTTCTAGTGCCTGCCATAAATAACTAAACTACCTTGATAAAAGTAACCAAACTCTCCTTTTCTTGCATAAACACCAATGTCGGGCACAAACATGCAGGTAGCCCTGCACATCCCAGCCCTGGCTCGAGTTAGGGCACTGTGTAATCATGCAAACACAGGGGATCTTACCTGCAGGACAGCAGAAGAGGTGTTGAAAAGCTGAACCTTTTGCACCCCCAGCTCTGAGATAGAGCTCAGCAGCTCTACACAGACAGACCCACCAGCCAAGCCACATGGCACGACGCAGAACTTTGTCTGCAGCTCCAACGTTAAAACCAAAAGCTCCTGTTGCTTTATGCAATCTTTTAAAAGGCAGTTACCTGCAGCAGGGCTCCCATTGTAGGTAGTCAGGAAAAAAAAAAGGTTTACAAAATACATTCAAGGAAATAAGGCTATAAAAGTACCAGACAGGCTGTCAGAGAGATGGAGAGCGGGTCACCCCACTGCAGCATCTATCACGAAGACCAACAGTCCCAAAAGTCCAGGGCACAGCCACAGCCCAGGCAGGGCATGGCCAGTGCCACCAAGGGATGGGTGGAGAATGTCTCTGGGTGACGAGCTGGACCTGTAAGTTCTGCTTCTATAAACCAGGGGATCTGGTGGAGCCCAGTGCTTGGATGAGCCGGGGGGCATAAAAGCCAGCACACAGGGATGGCCTGTTTCACTGGTACCAAGCTCTGAATGCTGCCAAAACCCTAACTTTGGTTTCCTCCTTAGAGCATCTATCAATGAGTTAATTAACTGCAGAATTACTGCTTTAAAATATAGGAAAACAGTCAAGCAGCAATAATGTTTTATATTAAGATACTGCCAAAACCCACCAAAAAATTAACTTCCACCCCAAAATGATGCAAAAAAAAATAATTAAGAAAATTAATTTTCCTATAACCTGATTTCACCACAGATACTTCCCATTGTTACACAACAGAGGTGGCCCTCCCTGCTTAGGTTTTGGCTTTGCTCTTAGCCTGCTGTTCCAACAGGGCAGCAGTAAATCTCTCTCCTTACATTTGACTGCATTAAGAACCCTGCTGTCCAGGGGCTTCCTGCTGGGATCGCTCGTGGAGGACCGGATTCCAGTTCCGCAGCTGTTGGCAAGCGTGTTCCTGCAAGAAAGGCAAAGGAGGATCCTTACACTGGGGACTCCAGGTGACAGCCAGTGCCTTGTCCTCTTCCCTTTAGGTTCTTATGGAGGGATCACTATGTCACACGATTTTAGGTAAGGAATTGGAAACCCTTGTGCTCAGGTTCATGCATCACTAAGAAAAAGCACAGAAATCAGCGCAGCACATACGAAGGATGAAGTGCTCACGACACATTATCTATTAACATGGTTAAACGACCAGAAAATAAACCAAACCCCTTGTGTTTTGGAGAGCAAGAGGACATACCGATCAAAGAAAGTGGCCAGAAGACGTCTCAGAAGGACCTTGTGCTTGACACCGGCACATAAGTGGCAATTCATCAGCTGCCCCCGGGTGATATAAACACCTGAGCCTGGAAGGGTTGGAGAGAGAGAATTCAAAATTAAACCCTTGTCTCACTGACAGCATCGCCTCCGAGCATGAGCAAACTGCTCCTGTGCTGGTCGGCCTCCAGTGTAACACAGGAGGGAGTGTGTTCTTCACACGCTGCTATGGAAGCCCACCAAGGGCAGCAGGATCTTTGGAAAAGCCTAGCAGGGACTGTCATCACTGGCGTCCTGGCAAGTCCCTGGTAAAAATAATAACTAATTTTATCTGTATGGAAATTAAATGAAAGTATCCTCCTTTTTTTTCTTACCAATACACACAGAGCAAGGCTTTATACTGTGATTTTATATGTACAGATCAGATTATTTATTCTTTCTGAAGGAAGAAAACCCCAGTCCATTTGGCCTTTCATTTTCTCAAGTGAAAGCCTGCAGAACATAGAGCTAGAAAGAAAAGAAAAATCCCCATCTAGCACAGAAAAGGTACAGGGTTACACTACAGATGTAACTGCTTCCAAAAACCCCAGCCCATCACCTCCTGATACTTGTGGTGTGCAGAGAATTTTCCTTCTAGTGCACAGGAACTGCTGACTTTGAAACACACTGTCTCTAAGAATGTTCTCCAGCAGAAAAAAGAGCCCCTGCCAAAGCAGCTGCACACGTCCAGGGCTTTGGCAGCGCTTTACAGCAGGTTTCTTATCAAACCCTTTTACTTTGCACATAGTCACACAGACCAAACCGCTCCTGCCTCAGCATCGGCTTTTAGGGGGGGGGCATGC